CACACACAAATATTGACACAAGTGTAATCCGGTGCTACAAAAAAGAAAAATAGGCACTCCCGTAAAAAATCCCCCCCAAAAAAACATTAACCTTCTGATAACGAAAATAAGCTGTTATGTCACATGCATAAAGTTAGGTCCCGCGATGGCGCTGTGACATCACTATGACACCACAAATTTGGGACATGTGATGTCGTCATGACATCACATGTCCCAAATTTGTCATCATCTCGTGATAATAAATTTTTTGCATCACCTGTTCCTGGCGGCATGAGAAGCCTTCGACGCGGGATGCCGACAGTCATAATTCGTGCTTGACAAGACATCTAAAGCTTTCGCCTTAACGGTAAGCGTGCACGTGATATTGCAGATTAGCATCATCATCTGGCAAAAATTGTTTTTTTTTCATTAATTTCTTTTTGAATTTGCATGTCACGTATGCATGATAGGGTACCAATTATTATCTGGTTTTCTGGCGCATACAGGTGACGTGCAAGGGGTGTTCATGTGATAGTACTCGCTGGTTGGTGATATCAACTTCGAGGCAGAGGCCTAAAATTCTTGCTTTCATGTTGAGTGCTTTAAAATCATCTTTCTGTAGTTTTTTGAACCTTTTTCTATTTACGTAACATGAGACGAAATTATAGCATCAATGAGTTTGGTCAGGAAGATTTAGCAGTCAGTTACGATTATGATTGTTATGTAATAATTTGGAGAACTTCTGTACCAATAATCTTTGGCACTGCAGTGTGTTAGTGACTTGTCATTTAGAAAACAAAATTAATTTACTCTTCATGTCTGAATAATTAGCTGCTTCCTATATGTTCTTGCTATATTTTACATTGCAGACTAATTTGAACCACATATTTTGAAACGGTTTGGGGGAAAAAACTCAAACCACACCCAACTCAAACATTTTCCGACCACCTTTCCGTGAAACACAGGAAACCCCCTCACATGAAGACATGAACTTCGAGCTGATAGTATTGAGTGGCTGCTGCTACTTCTTCCTATTCACGTCTATAGTAGTTGCTGCAAGGAAAACTACATATGATGCGAACATAAAGCATGTTCTCATCGGCAAGAAGAAATAGCACCTGCCTCATAGAACTGAAGCTGCTTTTTTAAAGAACCAGTCAACAGGCTCTGTCTTTCTTTTTGTGCCCAAAAGAAACTCGGCAATTAGAAGAGTAGACCACGGCGATCACGTTTTTCGAATATTAGAAATCTGTGCACAGTGGAGAGCCTCCATTTTAAAAAGCTATTCCCGTGCTCCTTTTCTATGCTTGATAAATTCTCCTCTCACGTGCAGTGATGCAAAGTCGCTGAATGGCGACTTGACATAGCACGCAGATCATTGATTGGTGTAAACCAGTCACAACGATGGGCTACGCCTTCCCCTCCCGGTCAGGAAGAAGGGTGGCGAGGCTGCACGAAAATTTGAAACCAACTGAAATCGTTGTTCAAACTTCTGTAACTTCGTTAACATAGCATGTATTTGCAAAGTTCTTACGGCAGCATGTTCACAAAGCAAAAGTGCGCATAGTTCACTACATAACAATTTCTGCACCTCGGGGTTGTGTACTGGCTCTTCAAAGTAGCACGCCACATGTATATGGCTTTTGGAAGAAACTAATCATTTAATAGCGCGCAAGTAGCCTGAAATCATGCAACTCCATAGAATTCGGTGGCTCCTCCGTGGGAGCCCGGGTGAAAAATGGCACCGGGTGCAGCACGAGCCATAGGTAGGTGAAAAGAATCGAGGAGAAAATGCATGCGTGGGGGAGAGTGTCCTTACTTTCCTAGATCAAAGGGCTTTAGTTGGTGTGACAGGTGGCCACACATCTCTGAGGCAGAAAACTGCGCGCGCCGTGTCGTGAGCATGCATTTACACAGTACTCACGATGGAAAAGAAGGGGAGATTTCTGACGACCCGTCAACAAATCTGGGTAGTCAGTTACAGTAGGCATTCTAGGCACCGTAGCTCCTTGGAAAAGGAGACTTCGTATTCACAGCCTACTTTACGTATAACTGCGCTCGGCAAGGCACACGAACCTGCGAAGAAAGCTACCGGATCGCATGCGCTGACTGCCCCGCTTCCTACATTGGGGAAACAAAGAACTTTCACGAAAGAATGTGGCAGCACAGCAATGACCTCCATCAATTGGACAGCAAACAGAGCGCAGTAGCAGGACACTGCGAGCGGTTTCAATACTACATCTGTCCCAATGACGCAGTGGTTTTACAGCGAGTGGCAAACACTAAAGTGGAAGTACAGTGACAAACTCTAAAGCTGTCATTTCATGACAGTGCTGACCCAAAACACACCTCGAGGAGAAAAAGGCATAACATGCACCTCAATTTTACTGTTAATTGAAAAAAAAAATAGTAAAAAAATAGTAAAAAGTTCAGACTTGCAAATTAAAGACCCTGAAGGCAGCTCCCCGATTTTGTTTGAATAAGCATAACAGCAGTGCCACATAGGCAATTTTTATTGAAGTCAGAGCCAATTCGAATTGGGCGCAATCTGGATCAGGTCACAATGATTGATTGGTGATTCATGATAGTTTGAAAGACAAGTGCGATAGGTGGACAGGGATAGCTTAGACATTGAGAAGCGCTAACTAACAACTGAAACTTTTATCGGAAAGCTATGAAATATATATCGGCAGATGAAATTTTCGTAAGCACATATAATAAAACCACATCGCAAACCAAACAATTGACACCTGCCTAGGCTTACATGTGCGGTAGACACAAGAAACAGCTGTGCAAAACAAAGCACAGAACTTTTTTTGTCAATTGCATTAGCATTAGTTGCATTAGCAACATTGTTTACACGATCTCGCTTTCGTGTGGCCCCTGTTATATTGGACAAACTGGAAGATGCTTAAACGACAAATTGTGGGAACATGCTTGCAACGTTCGCAATGGCAACGATGGCTTTCTGGCCCAACATGTCAGTAGATGTGGCGGCGAAGTTCAGTCTAACAGCACAGTCATGGTTAATAAACACAAGGATGAGCACACGAGCGTTATCATTAAAGCTGCAAACATATCGGTTTATAACTTTACTTGAATGAGCAAATAATCAATAGCTCTGTTTGATTTTTTCATTGTGGCAGATGCCGTAGGCATTAACAAATTGCTGCAAGGCAAAGCAAGATGGCGTAAGGTGGGGCTAATATACATATTTTATCAGTTTTGTTATGTTGGTTTGCATTGTGGTCTTATCGTATCTGTTTACAAAATTTCATCTGCCAGTATATATTTCACAGCTTTCTGATTAAACTTTCAGTTAGTAGTAAGTGCTTGTTCATGTCTTTGCTGTCCCTGTTTACGTATTGCGCTCGTATTTCAAACCATCCTGAATCAGGTGCTGCTATTCAGTGACTTTAATCTGCTATCTATAGATTGACATTTGTGCTAAGCACAGTAGGGATTGGTTTGGACTGTTTAGTAGCAATGGTTGTTTATTGTTGATTGATTGATTGATATGTGGGGTTTAACGTCCCAAAACCACTACATGATTATGAGAGACGCCGTAGTGGAGGGCTCTGGAAATTTCGACCACCTGGGGTTCTTTAACGTGCACCCAAATCTGAGAACACGGGCCTACAACATTTCCGCCTCCATCGGAAATGCAGCCGCCACAGCCGGGATTCGAACCCGCGCCCTGCGAGTCAGCAGCCGAGTACCTTAGCCACTAGACCACCGCGGCGGGGCATGGTTGTTTATTGTGGTCAGGTAGTTCAATTCATATCAACCCTAATCACGATCTTGTGACATTGTGTATATGAATTTCTCAGCGCACACATATGAGAAAGGCAGAGATAACTGATTAGTATGTACGCTGCCGCCGTCTCTGCCTTTTTTTTTCTACTCTGAATAGCTGTAGTATGGGTAAGTTCCGGAGAAGACGGCTACAATAAATTCCCAAAAGTACCTTTTTACTGCAAACATCATTACCATGCACCCTAAGATGATCGCTGCATAGGCTTGTGTGAATATTCAAATGCTTTAAATATTCGGATAAGTATTACAGTATTCAAATTTGCTTTGATTCGAATTTAACTGGCAGAAAATTTTGAAGCACTTGAAGTGAACAAATAGACGTAGTGTACTAGTCCAAACATAACCTTCTCTGAACATAATTTCACTGCAGTAAGCCATGAAAACAACTACACAGACGCCAAGCCTCATTTCAAGGTCAAATGAACATATTACACTCACACCAATCTATAATTTTTCAATTTAAAAGCTTGTTACACTAGTTTTTATGCTCTAAGTATAACTAAAATATAATATAATTTGCAGGTTATCATTCGCATTCCACCAAAAGTCAAATCCTGTTACTATTCAAACTTCTTTCCACTTCCCTTTGAACCAAAGAGAATGACGTTTGCACAGTCCTTGTTTCATTTTTTTAATAGTGTGCAGGTTAGTTACATTGTGACAAACATGCCTATTTCTCTATATAATATGTCATATATGCTATTCGAACTCGTTTAAAGCTGAGTTATTATTCACCTCGAGTTCACTATTTGCACAGGCCAATAGCTGAGGGTTGTCTGACTAGCTGCCACAAGACAGAATGTGCCGATTCTCGTTCTGGTACCTGTCTGGATCTATTCTGCTAACATATTTGGACTATTTTCATGGTTTCACAAAGTTCTGCTACATGTGGCCAAGGTGCCAATATTGACCACGTATATAACTACACCTCTTCCTGCACAAATCTTGGGTTTTTTTGCAATACACCTCAATTGAAAGTACGGTCCACATAAACTGTCTATTTGCACTTCGCCTTCGAGCCAAGCAAGGCAGATTCAGCTACCAAGCACAACCAGTAAGCTTTTAACCAACTTCCTATTTTTAACTACGCACTGCTACATTTCAACTCATTGTAACAAATAATTTTTCATCTACTTTCTCTAACTTAGGGTTTGTCTTTCACATGCGCCCCTCGAATCCTTGTTGCATAAGAGACGAGCCCCCACCAGGTTCCACATGATGGCCCAAGGACTCAGGTTCCAATCAGGCCTCTCGGGGAAGGCACAGTAGAGCATGTCTTTGGAGCTGTGCGCCACTCCTGGCTTGGTGTCGGGCCACATTTTCCAAGGACAGGTACCGTGAATGTCCACACGCTGTCAACATTCAACAAAGTCACGTGGTGAGCACAGTTTGACTCGATATCACAGGGAACAAAATCCTGATGCTAACAAAATGGTTAAGAAATGAAAGAATACAATGCTGAGCATCTTCAGAAGGACGACATAATTAGGGAGAATGTTGAATACATCGTAAATACACCTATTCAGGGAAAATACGCATTGCCTCAATGCTCCGTTTCAAGATTAAATGAACATTCTACGTGCACATCAATTCTTCTTTTTCCAGTTTAAAAGCTTTTTAAACAGGTTTATATGCCCTAACTATAGTCAATTTTAAAATGTAGTGTACCTTACAAGTTATCACTTGCATTCTACCCAAAGTCAAATCTTGTTACTACTCAAAACTGCTTCATTTTTTTTTAACCAAAAAAAATAAACATGCCATTAACATAACACATGCACAGTTTCAATTAAAAAAATATTGAGCAGGTCATGACATGATGAATATGAGCATTTTTTCTAATACATGATAAATACCATTACAATAAGATTTAATATTGAAATTTGACTAAATCCTTACTTGCTTCAGACCTATAATTCACATATGCCTAGACACAAGTATGCATATTATAAAGCATCATTTCGCATGTGTTTTTGAGTGTGTACTCATTTTGACACACATCTGCGTACCATGTCCTTAGATTATCACCTTTCGGTGCTGATGTTTGTAGAAGTTCCCCGCGCTTGCTGTTCAAGAAAAAATATGTTTTACTTACAATTTCATCAAGCATCGTTTACAAAATCTCATTCACAAGTATAACATAATGGTAAATGCTAACTAGCTAGCCATTGCTTACCGATGTCTCCGCTCCTTGCACAATGTGCGACTTCTTCAACACGAAGGCTGAAATCATGGCACGCTTAATGTTGAGTATGTGTTCTGGCTCAGCGGGCGAAACTTCCAGTCCAGTCACCACACCATCAGAAAGAGAAACCACCACTGGGAACCTGATTTTTAAAGAAATAATTGGAAGGTGGCACATTTAAATTATGAATTGCATCTACCCTCAAACCTCATTATAAGAAAATTGCATCTTAGATGAAAACAGATTTGTTATATCTAGAAATTAATTATAAACAATATTTGTTACACAATATCTATTGCAAGACTATTTTAATTTATTTCTCTATAACCAATATTTCGTTATATCCGAGTTCGTTATATTACGGTTTGAATGTATAACTTTCTGAGAATGCCCATCACGTTCATACCATCTTACAAGTGCACGAAAGGCGATACCTAAATATTGAATGGATCCTAATGCCATAGCAGAGCGTGGGAATCATATACTGCAAAAATCGAATGAGTGGTTGGCCAAAAACTTCTTATAATCAACTCTTCGAAAACAAAGGCTGTTTTATTCCATGTGAAATCTGTATCATGTAACTTAGGAGACGTCCTACACTTCAATCACTCTGTGATTGAATGATCTTCTACAGCTAAATCACTAGGAGTAATTTTTAATGAATTTGTGCTTTGGGACCACCACACTGGCTACCTTCGCAGTAAACTTTCGAAAGCTGTAGGCATGCTGAGGAAGTGTATGCATTTTCTCCCAGTCTATCACAACCGTTTGGTATACACTGCTTTATTCGAATTGCACTTGGCCTACTGTCATCTCGTGTGGGGACATTGTTCTAAGAAGGCATTGCCAATCAACCATATGGTGTGCACACATCTCAGCTACTTACAAAACTTGAAATTTTAAAGTTAATCAAGTTATATGAACTTTATCTACTATATTCCATAAGATCTGACATACATAAGAACAGAAAAAAAAATGCCAGGCTTGGGCAGAAGGCGCAGCACAGCCACAGTGAAAGCTAGATAAGCAGCCTTTCAGAGCCTTTTTTAAACACTCATTTGGTAACTGCTGCAAGCACACTTGCTTGATACCACTAGGTCATGTGAATAAATTTATTTGGGTAGTAAGCCATCATGTGCTATGCTATTTTTCGTCATTCTTCTGAGAAGCTTGGTATCCACTACACACTTGCAAGGAATTTTGTGCCAATTGTTCATGCAGTGGCTGACGACGATGAGGAATTATGGCTGAAGTCGGTATGTGCTACAGTTGATAGGGGAACAAGAACAAGCTATTGTGATGGGTTGGAGCATTGGACAGCCCACTCATTATACTATTCACATTGTGCGATGACTGGTTGTTTTTTCGTCGCTTTAAAACGCTTTAAAAGTCCTATTAAAGTGATTGCTTTCCTGGCATCAAGCCAGCCTAAAGCAAGTTTGCCAAGTCCCAAGTACCGGCATAGCTAAGTGATAGAATACTGGGCTGGCTCCCAGCGGACCTGGGTTCGAGCCCCATTGAGTCATTAGTACTAGGTTTTTTCTAATTTCGCGCGATGTAGATACGGACACAGGCGGCGGCAGCAAACAACTACAGTGCTGCGTGAGACCCGAGTTGTGATCTCATAACAACTTTTGCTGTAATAACTTTTTCAAACTTGCAGCCAAATACTTCATCATACGCCTTGAGGCACACAGAACTCTGGCATGTACCATGACCACGAACAAACTATGGGCTGCAGGTGTTGCCGTTCAGCATCCCTCAGTTGTTAAATAAGTTTGATTAAACGACACAAAACTTGCATGTGCTGTCAAACGATGAATTGCACTTGCTTCTTGTATAATTGCCTGTTATTGTCTGGTATATTGCTTATTAATTATAATTTTGCATACACCCACTATCTTATTTGTAATTATGAAAAAGTGTTACTGTTGTTACTCTTTGTGTGCATGTTTTGTTTATTTCTCTGAAAGTGTCTGCTATACATGTTTATTTTAAATAACCTTGTTTTGTCATTCAAAGAGCCTTTTTGTATATTGCTTTAATTTGCTTCTGCTGAAGTGTCGCTGCTGGGTAATGGGAGATGGAACCAGTCAAGCTACATACACGTAGCTTTTTTTTTTCACCTTGCAAACCACACCTGAAGTTTTTGTACTTCGTTCGGAAAAATAAAACAAACTTCAAACTTCATCTTCAACACCAAAAAACCTCCACATATATATCGAACTTATAAGAATATCTGCATTAATTTGACGTATAACCTAATACAATCTGAAAATTTTAAAGAGTTAACCATATTTTCATTGCACAAGTTAGCTCCACAGAGCTGCTTCTCGATGTTGCAAGGAAGGCAGCTCAACGACAATATAATAGATGTAGACCATACAATAGATGTAGACAATAGATGTAGTTTTCTTTTTGCTTGTCAATTTTATGAAGTTTGTATTTAGAAGCAGGCTATACACAAAAAAAGCGGTATCGATGTGAGCAGCACCTCAACATGTCCATCCACTGTATATACTCATCAGGCATCGAAAGCCTCTCGTTCACCTTGACCCTTAATCTCTTACTGCCTAATGTCGCGAATTTGCGACATACCGAAAAACTTCAAGCAAACAAGTCATGGAATGAGTGCCACCTTTAATGCCCACAGTGAAGTGCTCACGGAGAACATAGCTTTCAGCATAATAAATGTAGCACTACCTTGCATAACGTATTTTATGCTAGGGCCAATTGTTTTTTTTACTGATGGCGAAGTGCGTGCAAGAGCACTCACTTTTTTGCTCTTTCTCGTCTGGCTGATGCAAGTTCTATCTTCAATAATTTTGTTTATTTGGCATGTGCTCAAGACAAGGCACATGACATGTTGCGTAGTTGTGATGTACGTTTTTCATTGCAAGGTCTTTGCTTCTGTAGCATGGGGAGATTTTGCGACATGCATAAATGTATGCAATAAAGGTGCATTTTAGATAATTTAACTGTGTAATTAATTGGAGGTTGCTATTTAAAGGTGGAAAATGGAAATTTTTGTTTTCTTCTGCAGTTTCATAATTCAGGCATCAAAGGAATAAGTTGGCTTTGTTCTTGAATATTGTGCCCAGTATGCTTCTTGGAATGCTGTATGCAGCAGCAATGTCAGACCTCTAACAGCCAAGCTGTTTAACTAATTGTTTCTTGTGAGTTGATTGCAGAAAGCTATCAGAGAATGCTGGGTGCGAGAAGACATTGAAGGGATGGAAGTAGGCTTGCGCGAATAGTGAATTTTATGTTCGAAGCGAATGGTGATTTTGATCGAATAATTTTGAATTGAATTTAAATGGTATGTATGACATATGTAGAAAAGGGAAATATTTCACCTGCACAATATTTCTTTTGAATTGAAATAGGGGCTGTATGCAAATGCCTTTTTTTTTTCATTGAAAGGAAGTCTAAACAACCTTTAGTAGTAGTTTCAGTAGGATGCGAGTGATAACCAGTAAGATACTTAATGTTTTAAAATTTATGATAGTTGAAGCATATAAGCCATCATAACACGCTTAATAAAATAAAGAATTGAATTGAGGGTAACATGTTCCTTTATAGGGGCCCTGCAACACTTTTTCAAGTAGCCATGGGGCCAGTAAACATGCTTGTTGCCTCACAAATTTACCACCGCAAAGCTTCTAGAATCAGTCCAGTGCGAGCGGAGTTCCAAAAATTTGTCGCACGCTGCCATTGCATTTTCTCTTCTCGTCCCGACGAAATAGCTGGAAGCTTAGCAAAGAGGAATGTCACGGGGAATGAAAATACGTAACAGGCATCTCGTGACATTGAGAACCATTTTTTTTTCTTCGAATACGCGGCTTTTCAGTGCAATCGCGCATGTACTCGTGGACAAGCGGCAGCCTCCCGTGGCGGCCCCAGTAACGAAGAGCCCGCCATGCTCAAATCAACCAATGGCTGTGACAAGTGATTTTTCAGCTTTTAGTGTCATTTGCCGAGGAAAGAAAGCAATTTTTAGCTTTGAAGTTTTATTGTGAACTACAGGCCGCGTGCTGCGCTATATTATTTGGCTCGAGTGTTCTCAGTAGCCTAGACTACAGAATGGCAGCGTTTTGTGACCATGCTCAGTAAGTGTTGCAGGGTTCCTTTATATTGAAAGACAGACTTCATGGCAAAACGAATTTTTTTGAACAAATGCTTTCATGGTTGAGCACTACTACATTGCAGCAAAACCACTTTTACAGGCGGTGACATGTGCTATAATATACCCTTTTTCGTTAATTGCGAATCAAAAATGAATATCGAAAATATTCGATAATTTAAATTCAAATCAAAGCGAATTCGAATACTCAACTATTCATTCGAATATTCGAAGCAATCGAATATTCGCACAAGCCTAGATGGAAGACCTACACCAATGACCCGTAGGATGAGAGGTGCAAATGCTTGCTTCCAGTGCTAGGTTCTGCCTCTGAAGTTTTGACAACTGTGTTGTGTTTGTGACTGCTTGTGGTCGAACCTCTCTGCGCTCAGCATAAGCATAGAAACTACCTAGAAACAAACCAAGCTGGTTTTCATAATGGTCCAGTTTCAAGCCTTACTGCATGGCCTAGTGCCAGCTATGTCACTTTTTTACAGTGAAAGCTGTTACGAGATCACAACAAGCGTCATTTTTTTTTTGGTGCTGTAGTTGTCCACTGGCACCACCACTGTCCCTAATACTATTGCTCAAAAAAAGAGAAAAATACAAAATAAGAAAACATTCAGGGTACACGAGTTCGAATCTGAGTCCTTTCTGCAGCAGCCAGTATTTGAATTGAGTTATTGACAACAAGGTTGCGAAGATGACCAGGCAAAAAAGCTGCACTGAGCAGCTTGAGGGGAACCTGGCCACCTCATACACTGGGTCAAAGTTATTCAATCATAAGAGTTCTGAAACTCCCCATAGGCTCCATGTACCGAAATCCGGACACTACACTGGCCCAAGCGTCGGAAGTGTGCAAACTGTCGCGCCACCTGTTGATCAGCACGCCAGCTATCAATTGCACTAGTATTTTGTTTTAGTTGTTGCTTCCAGGTGGCACGACAGTCTGCTAACTACCGAAGAATCCGGCCAACTACGCGTCCGGGTTTCGGAACCCAGTTTTGCAATTGATATGA